AACGCCAAGCTGACGGCGCAACTGGACAAGCAACAGAGGGGAGGGCATAACCATGGGAACCGGGGGGGCACGGGTTGCTTGTTGTATATGACGTGGACTGATGCAAACCGGGGGGAGCATGCAGGAGGAAATGTTTCGGCGTTGGCTGGTTCGTGGGCGGATGGTGTGATGTGGGAATACCCCCGTGATGTAACGACAGACAGTTCTGGCAAGAGAGGATCGGACAGCAAAGAGAGTGTCCGGAGGCACGAGGAAGGCCCGCCGTGACACAGTCCAAGCGAACGAGGCGGCATATAAGTAGAGAACCTTCACTCGGGCTGGCTCAGACCGATAGGCTGACAGCTCAACAAATCCTACCTTGTTCAACATTTCTTTGTCTCCGTCTCTCGGCCGAGATCACATTTCACTAACGATTTACGAGCCCCGAGCGGGGATCAAGGGACGCGAGGGAGGGGTGTGGGCAGATGGAAAGACGTATGCAGAATAAAACAAAACGGAGGCTATGTCAGAAGCTGTCCCGAGGGTTCTGCCACGCTTGCTTGCCCGGGCGGGAGGGCCCTTCAGTACATGTGAGAGACGGGCAAACCCACACAATCAGCCCAAGGTCAGTCCATCCCACGCGGAACCGCGTTCGGGGGGTCCTGTCCGCTTTCATGGGACCAGGTCGTGGGCCGGGGGAGGGTTTTCGAGCACGGGTTGAGGCTGAAAGGGGTAGGTGAGCCCGATGGCCTGGCTGGGCGTGGGTCTGGAGCGTCTTGTCTGGGGGCTGCTGGGCAAGGTTGCGGCGCTAGCTGTCAGGATTCCACAATGGCCATGTATTTATTCTTCGCATTTCTTTTCGGAACAAGGTTTGGCGAAGCTTAGGGTTCTGGAAAGGGGGGGGCTTGCTTCGATTATAGGCTGAGCGAAGCTGAGGGTGGCTTTGCTGTGCGGAGACGTTTGGAGGTGGCATGTCACTGTCGATGCATCCTTCACAGGCCGGCTACATTCCACTCGCGGTGGAATAGATCAATGCAGGATATCGATAGTCTCAACGCAGGTCATCTGAGTGTTTGGGATTCTCGCGCCCAGTGATCAGGAGGCGCTTCTCCTACCCACGTGTATCCCCCTTCCCCTTGCCAACCACCCCAGACAGCTATCCCTTCACCCAAGCAACGACACCGAGCACAAAGACGCAGACGAGAATGTCCCTCCTCACGCTAGCGAAGACATTGCCGTACCGCAGCGCCGTCTCGACCCAGCCCCTCCACGGGCCCGGCAGAAAGGCAGCAACGGTCCAGACGATGCCGGCCTCGGCAGGCCGGCCCTTGAGCAGGAACATCCTCGTCGTGATGAGCAGGGCCTCGGCCGTGGGGGAACATCCAGAAGAAGACCTCCCTGCCCTCCTCCCATGCGGTTGACCTCGCCGACGACGTCGTCGCTGGCCGTCGGGTACGTGAGGGCCAGCGCCGTGCGCTCGCGCTGCGCCTTGGCGCCCGTAAAGTGCGTCGTCGCGACAATGTAGAGGCCCAGCGTCAGGGCGAAGACGGCGTGGAGCACGCGCCAGAGGTAGTCTGCCGAGGACGACGACGCCTGCGCCTGCTGGCCGGCGGCGCCCGGCATGCCTGGGAAGCCTGGGAAGCCCGGCGGGAAGGGACTGCCGTCGGCGCCGCCGGGGAGGCCGCCGCCCGCCATCATCTGCGAGAGCATCTTCATCATGGGGTCCTCGTCGCCGGCGGCGCCCATGGCGGCAAAGGCGTTTTGGAAGTCGGTGGGCGGTGCTTCGCCGCCGGCGGGCGGACGCTCGAAGCCGAGCATCATCTGGCGGAGCTGGGCCTCGGAGAGGTCGTTTGGGTTGGAGCCGGCGCCGGGGCCTGCGCGGGGCGGGATGCGCTGCGTAGCACTCGGCTCGTAGTAGTGCTGCGAGATGTCGACCTCGTCGGGGTCGGCGTGATCGGCGGCGGAGGACGAGGCAGGTGGTGGTGGCGGCGGCGCGGCTGCTTGCTTTGTGGGTGCAGGTGAGGCCGTGGCTGAAGGCGCTGGTGACGAAGTTGCCGAAGAGTCTGCGCATCATGGTGCTGTCAGCGATCAAAGACATTCATTACATGATCAAGACGAGCTCAGTGTTCATCATTCATACCTGGTGCGCGGCCGCCTAGGCCCGTGATCTTATCGAGCCGTGATGCACCTCCGGCCTTGATCTTTGCTTCTCTGCGTTCCTTGCGCAAACGAGCCTGCTCGGAGGCTCGCTGAGCAGCAGCATCCTCGGGTGTGAGTTCGGTCATTTTGATCGCGATCGTGGGGAGGAAAGCAGCACTTGTCGATGGCCACGACCAAGTCAAATGGTGGGAGTGGTCGAGTGACGTTTTGTGGACGAGAGAGCAAGGAGCGAGTGGCCTCCACATGTGGCAGGGGTCCATCCTTATCTTATCGCTTTCACCCCCCTTCAAGCAGTGAATTGAACCCCCTACTACAGTACCTCTCTTGTACCGAAGCATTAGGTCTTAAGCATGCATCCCATCTAGTATTGACAAACTGATCACACAACGGTCACTCGGTTCATGTAAATTTCTCAAAAATAAAACAGTTCATGACGTTAAAGGCTACACCATGTATATAGCTTGCTTCACCGACCGGCCTCCACCAAGCCCTTTGGTGCTGCGCGGGCGCAACATCACCCACGCTGCGGAGCTTGCATTCACACTTTTGCTCGTCAACTTCGTCAAATCAAGGTGTAGCCTTGCTCATGCTGATCAGTCGCTTGACACCGACCTAAGAGGAGTTAGCTTGCGCGGCAGAATTCCAAACTTGGAGACAAACGTACCATCCAGTTGCCGCACTCCGTCGTCTTCTCACGCTGAACTTCCACCTGCAGGGCCTGCGCCCCGTCGTAGTCCCTCGCTTGAAGAGCCTCGGCGATCTGGTTGAGCTTCTCAATCGTATCAGGCTGCACCAGTTCTTGGTTGTTGAGGTGGTCGAACAAGAGGTTGAGACGCTTCTGCGTGTCCTTAACCTGAGGCCCGAACGACGCTGGCGCCTTGCTGGCGACCCTTTGCATATCCGAGCTGAACACCTCCACTAGGCGCTGTGCATTGGCCGGGATGTGACTGCGGTCGCCGGCGGGATGCCTCGCCGCTGGGGGTGCTGAGGCTCTGGGCGGCGGAGGCGTCGGCCTGGCGCCCGCAGGCGGTCCACCGGGAGGAGGTCCTGCTGAAGGGGGGGGACCGCCGGGGGGAGGGCCCGCCGGGGGCGGACCGGATGCCTGCGGAGGCGCCTGGGAGGCCGATGGCGCGTACTGGCTTTGAGGGGTTCCTGCAGATGGCGGTGGCGCGTACACAGTAGCGTGAGTTTATCATTGCCCAGAGGAAGGCCCGGCCGAGGGCACTGGGTCCCTGAAGAGGCTGGTTCGTCTAGCTGCGCTGCCGTGCTGGCGCATACTCGCTACAAAGAGGCGGCCCAGCC